ACCTGTAAATTATGCCCATTCATTTACTGCACAACAATTGGGTTATTCTTCAGTAAAATTCAATTTGAGGCTTTAGAAAAATCAAGCAGGTATCGTTATTCTTTCCATAAGATGCCAAATGGTGTCTTGGTGGCCTCTGCTATCCTTTACATGACTTTTTTGTGTATTCCGAAAGGATTAATATATGTGTACGCAACGGCTGGTTCTCAAGTCACATGTGTAATTCCACATACTAATGAGTTAGTCAGGTGAGCCTCTCCGCTCGGATCGGGCTAAGTCTGTTCTCTTGTCGCTCTCTCTGTTGCCTGTAGATCCTCTCGACTCCTTCCCACTTGTATATTTGTATTTTCAGCATCTTTATCCTCTACCCACTTACAATTGGCGTAACATAGGTTGGCTTGTTAGTTTGTTTGGTTTCTAGCAATGATAAAAGTGAGGTTCTGCTTCTAACCCCCCAGTAGATTACCGTCATGATGTGTTTGTTTCAGGAGTTTTGAGACGCGATCTACTTGTTCGCTCAGCCGTGCACACGCCTGGCTCCTGGTCACACTCATTTGCCAGTTACTTTACGGCATTCTTCCTACTTTTTTGTTTTAAATCTGTGGGGTTGTTTTTGTCTTGTTTCATTTTTTTCTTCTGCATAAAGATATATCTATTACTCAAATATAAAAGTGACTAAAGAAAGAACATTATAAAGTTTATTTTGAAATCTTCCAAGCCACATACTAATGCATCTCTAACGGGGACATTTCTTTTCACACCTCTGAGGTGATTGAGCCTGTCCTTTAAAGTGAGATTTGCAAACCAGTGTCTGGCAGCTCCAATTAGCTTCTTTGGGGTTTGAAGCACATCACAAACAGTAACAAGGTCTCCTAGGACACTCCGATTGCAAGCAATGTAGTCATATTTCCTCATTAGTTCTTTTCAATTGTCACTAATGCCATGTTCCAGCTTTTGAGTAGGAGACAAAAAACATAAAAATTTGGTATGTATGTAGAATGGACCATTGTTTTCCATAATTCAAGGCTCTTTTGGGTTTCTTTGATAGTTTTGAGGCTTACACAGCTTAATTCATTAACCTTTAGCCTTCACATAAATCAGGCGATTAGGAATCTATTGCTACGGAGACAGATTTTCCCTCCACTGAAATGAAGTAATGCCTTCTCTTCTTTGAAAAAAAAAATCCTATAAAGCTCACAAAAGTAACCTTTCTGTTGCTTTTCAAATTTCATCAAATGTTTCAGGTACATTTTAGAACATTGCCAAAAGCCAAGTGAGCATAAAATTACATTATTATCCAAGATAATTCTGGTTTCTTTGGATACTTCAGAGCTGGTTTCCTGGCCCTTTTGGTGTATTCCGAAAGGATTTATATATGTGTACGTAACAGCTGGTACTCAGGAATTTACAATGGTAGAATTTTTTTTTTAATTCTCTTCAGACCTTTGCCAAAACATAAAAGCAAGAAAATAAACTCAGCAGAGCCAATTCAGAATAAACTAAAGTATATTTAAATGAACCTAAGACATTAGATTTGGAGAAATTTTTCATATGGACTCATGTTGTAGAGAAAGCTGATGGGGGCTCCAGTAGAGGGAGGTGGTGGTTCTGTGTGTCCCTTGAGGTGAGATGGGAATGTTACGTCTTTTGATTCTTTATTCAAAATACTCTGGTTAAGCACACCCCGCTTGATTCCTCAGGACTCAGGAAGACAGTTTATTTGGCTTAATTGTGTTTGACATTCCTGGGCTACTGTAACAGTATTTAGTGTGATGCAGCATTTTCCCACTATGCCATTTTCTCATATTATAAATTTCTTCTTAATTGTATAGATTGTTACTTTTCATAAGAATACAGTTCTTTTGTAAGTATTATAATTTCTTACAATTTCATGCATGAACATACTGACCCGTAGAGAATGTTGGTCCTCTGATATTCTGCAGTTTGTCCTTAGGGATGAGAGGACAGGGTGTGCGAGAGAAAGAAGAAAGCGGTGAATGCTGGATCCTGTTTAGGGGTTTCTGGCTAGTCCCTAGGGACAGAATTGTAATTTATTATTGTAATTAATGAACATTCTCCTGTGTGGTATCTGAGAATAAGAAAGGGTATGAAAACGCAGAGGTTTTAAACATGGGTCTGTCACTGTTCTGTTCACGCAAAGATTAGCCCTCTGCAATAATTTGTCTCTTTTATTGGTGCCACTTAAAAAGTACCCCTTGAAAATCTTATATGAGTGCTGGTAGTCGAAAGTTTAAATAATTGCTAAGATTTATGTGCACATAGTATACAATGAATTGAGAATTGCCCTGATACTAGTACAACCAAGGTTGTGACTAGTGCCACAACTCTGTAAAACACAGACTTATGTAGAGTAAGTGGGCTTCACAGACTTGCATTCTGTACTTCTTATAAATAGATTCCTAAGTGGACCCCAAGTTTCATGAGAAAAGGACAGTCACCACCCGTGGTCTCTCATCTTGGGCTGCCGTCACCACATGCTGCCTGGGACACTAGACGTGGGTGAATACTAAGGCTTCAGACACCAGCCAGGCACCGGAGGTGGTGTTCTCTTCCCACCAATCTGCTGTAACGGGGAGAACACAAACCACTTCCATTTTCAACTCTCAAAACAATAGCTATTAATCGACTTATTTCATCCACTCAATTTTGTGTTTTATTATTACATTACAAGTTTCTGTCCAGATTCATAGAACTTGTCCTCAAATATCCCATCCGTGAAAGATAAGAAATTAATATTTTGAAACAAATCTTCCAGGGACTGCTTTTTCCCCCTCCATGAATTCTTATTCAGTGAATGGTTCTCTGTTGTCATACCTTCCAGTCCACTGGCCGAGGGTACAGGGTGACCGGCAGTATATAGAAATCTGCGTACCTGGAAGCAGAAGGAGCAGAGCGACACTCTTCGGGGATGCTCTAGAAAAGCAGAGCGCTCTCCCTTTACGCTCCTCCTTTCCTTTATTGTCTGAAAAACGCTTACTGCTCATTCTCTAATCGCGCGTTCTCTCTTGAATGGACTATTTTGTGATATCTGTTCATAAAGGTCCACACTTCTGCAAGTTTTCTCTGCCACATGGGGAAACAGCGTGACGCTCACGGCCTTTCATCAGGGTAGGACGGTCTCCTCCAGGGACTGTCTTTCCTTAATATAAATACCAGTTCTCACTGCCTCTCCAGTGGCTTCTCACGTGGTTTGCAGGGTGAAACCGATGTTGTGGTTTGCTGCTTGTGGTTCCTCTGTCCCGAGTGTTCTCATACACTTGTAGCATATCTAATATGAAATCAAGTAGACAGCACAGATAGGATGCTGTTTTTGTTTAGAGTTTTTCATAATCAAATATGCAGTCACATATTTTAAACCACTGGAATAGAACATGAAAACAAAACACAATTAATGATTTTTAGTGGATCTGAAATATTGGATCTGCTAATATTTTTGTTGAGTGATGGAGGAGGACAGTAAGATACATCTTCTTGATTTGACAGAAAGTCATTTTTTAAATTATTCAAGATTTTATAATTATCTAGGATCTTTATTTTTACTCTTAGCATGTAAAAGTTAGGCTTTAAAATTGTCTGTAAAATGTTATGATTGGTAATATTTCATTTCTGTTTTTATCCTTTCCTTTTTGGTGAACTTACTCAAATGTTACATTAAAACCAAATGGCATGGGGAATTGGGTTTTGAAATTTCCCTTCACAATAATCTGTAACTTTTGTAATTTCATTGTGTTGCCATTTTAGGTTTTTGTCATAGTCATAGAAAAGGTTTTCCATTTTACCATACATCTTTTTTAGTAGTCAAAAAAGCATGTTATTCAGTTATTTTGAGGAAACCTGGAATATTTATCGTTCTATTAAACCAAAATTCTATGAAAAATATTTTAAAAGAAAGATAAATCTTCCTTATAACTTATTTAACCTTCAATAATGAATTATGTGAAGTAAAATTGTATAAATTCCTGACATTTTATGAAGATCCCTACAAATAAGCCAGACAGCAAATAAAATATCTGAAAGACAGAGATAGATTCTGAGTAATTTTTTGATGGATTATGCACACAGGCATCAAATTACTTGGTCCTTGTGTCCTAGAAAAGGTTAATGACTCTTTTTGCTTTTACCCTTTTACTTAACTGTTATTTATAAAGATTACAACATGGACTGCCTTGAAGAGTGCCCATGCCCGTGTGTCCGTACGACCACACAGTTTTCTGATATTATAGGATTCGGAGCCCCAAAATGGATAGGATTGTTAATCATTATTTTTCAAGTTCATTCATTTCTGTACTAAAACTTCCACTAGGGCTAGGAGCAGAATAAACTATTGGCAAATCTTTTAGTGTAAATGAAATCAGAAAAGACTTTAAATTTTAACTATCTATTTGTGTATCATTAAAATGGCCTAAGCACGACAATTCACTTAAACTATTAAGCTTAAGACATTTTATAGTAAAAGTTCTTATGTATTCAGATTCTTCTTTCACCTCTAATTTAGGAAAGATTTTTCTTATGTTAAATAAAATTCCACAAAAATCTTTATTTCAACGTTATCAAATTTTATCCTTAATAATTGACTATCACCACCCACCTATAATGATGATTCAAGTATAGTCAACATATAACATAACTGCTTTATGTTATTTCATTATATAAATGACATGTTCATTATATGGCATATGTTTACTAGCCATTTGTCACCAAATGTGGCATTACTCTTAAAGAAATACGGGAATGTCTCTTCTGCATCTCTTTTGTTTTGAAAGCTGCACTAGTTATAGCAGTGTTTAATTAAAGACATTTAGGCATTAGAGCACTTGAGTTTAAAGCAGGGAATATGATACCTTTTCTGAAACAGCTTGGAAGGGGTTTGTTGCAAGAAGAGAGCTGTGACCTCTTCCTGTTAAATTTGTTGCTAAGCCTTGGCTAAGCTACCTTCAAATGCGTTCGTATAACTCACCGCTTTTTGGTGTGTTTTTCAGGTGCGTGGAGGTCATTGCAAAGGAAGGACAAAACCTAAAAGAGCTGTACTTGGTGTCCTGTAAAATCACAGATTATGGTAAGTAAGGAGCCATTGTCCTAATACCGTGAGGAATAAAAAGTTACAAAATCAATGAAAGTTTTTTTTAGGAAATTAAGAATTATCTTGTAGACACTCTTTACGTCTTCATTTATACTAATTGTCTTCATACCAAAAAACAGAAAACATCAAGAAATCCTGAGCTAGGGACTGTAGCACAGTCAGGTACCTGCAGGTGCCCACATACTCACCCTGGGCTTTAAAATACAGCTCGCAGGAGTATGAAATGAAAATAAGGACAATTAAATGTTTTATAAAGTAAATATTACTAAGTAATTAATTATCCTGAGTTCATTTGCTTAAACAACTTAACACCATGTCAAAGGCACTTCTGCTAACATTCTGAATGTCTAGCCTTCTCTTCTTTTTGTTCAGTTTTCTAAATTTTTTTTTATCCATTTGTGCATTTCATCTAATTATACAGTTTTAACCAGATACTTGGCTTTGTAAGAGAATGAGTTAGTGTTCTTATTTCTTTCCCGACTCTTGGATTTGTTCATTTAAATTTGAGAATATGTTTTCTACCTTGAGGGAAGTTAACAATCCATAAATTTTTATTGTTAGCTGTGATATATACTAATAAATGAGACCCCATTCCTAGGATGTCATGATGCCCATCTGCTCCAGGTGGGAGAGTATTAAACTTATCTCTATCAGCTACTAAATTCATCTTTTTGAAAATCTCTACTAGAACTATAATTTTTTTTTTTTAAGAGACAAGAGTCTCACTTTATCACCCTGTGTAGAGTACTGTGGCATCACAGCTCACAGAAACCTCCAGCTCTTGGGCTTAGGCAATTCTCTTGCCTCAGCCTCCTGAGTGGCTGGGACCACGGGTGCCTGCCGCAACGCCCGGCTATTTTTTTGTTGCAGTTTGGCCAGGGCCAGGTTCAAACTTGCCACCCTTGGTATATGGGGCCGGCGCCTTACTCACTGAGCCACAAGCGCTGCCCTAGAACTATAACTTTTTTAAAAGTTTTAAAAACAGATTTAACCTAGGAATACTCCTAATTTCACAGTTTATTTTTGGTAAATGACAAATATGTCTGATGTGGATTTATCTATAATTTTTCTGGATTATTGGTTTTTCCTAATTCTACTTGAAAAATGATTGTTTCGATATAGTTTTCTTCCCTTGTAGTTTGTTTTCTGGTTTGGCTGATTAGATTATCAATCAGATGTATAAGGGAATTCCAACATTTCCAGTGTCTCTCTATTGTCTGGGTCCCAAAGAGTCCCCCTTCCCCACACGGGCCCTTTTGAGGATGTCTGCACAGTCATGTAGATTGGTCAGTCGGTGGGTGTGGTCATTCATTCTCAAGTCTACGCTGCATTCAGAGTGCTTTAGCCTCAGTCCTCTGCAAGCTCCTTGGATGTTATCATATAAATCTTCTCTTTACTTATTCACTGCCAGCTGTCAGATAGCTAATAGCTAGGAGCTGTGCCATATATCCCTTATAATGAGGTCTCTTAAGAGGTTCTGCAGTGGAAAATGTTGCGAAAATCATACTTTCTTCTGGAGGCCTTGAGATACTTTATCTCAGAACAAAGCTAATGCCCAGCATTCATGTGTTAAGTTAGCAAGTACTAAAAAAATATTCCAGAAAATATGGGGAAGAAAATTTTAGACTTGGGAAAGACCTATGGTCAATTGGTATCTTTGTTCTTTTAACTTTGACCTTAGGGAAGTTTCTTCACATATCTAAGACTCGGTTTCCTCAACTGTGAAATGGGAAAGGAATGTCTGGCTGTGCCTTCCGGCACACCTGGCCCCAGGCTGCTGGGCACCCAGGCTGGGGACGGCACAGTCTGCACAGCTGACCAGTGCTGCTCCCCTGCCCTGGTGGGTCTTTCTGCTCACTTTTCTTTCCTCAGTCTTAGAAGAGGTTTTGTTTTTGTTATGACTATTGTTATAATTTAGTAATATCCTCATGTTCTGCTGTTTTGAGATTTTAGAATATCTTTTCTTCTGGTGTGGTTAAAATATGTTAGAACCTTGCCTGATAGAGTTTGCATTTGTTGGCATTTGTGAATTATTTTAGGTCAGTGGTTCTCAACACTGTCTGCATATTAGAATACTTGCAGTGTTTCTAAAATATATTGATGTTTGAACCTTACCTAAGACTGATTACATCAGAATTTTTAGGAGGTGGGGTCCAGGTAATAAATTTGTAAAACCTTCCTGATGGATAATAATGTCACTTTAAGTTGAGAACAACTGCTCTAGTTCATTTGAGAGGAATCAAGTGAACATTTGGGGACTTTCCCCCCACGTCAACAAGAAATCAATCATGATTTTTCTTACATCTCCGTCCCTTTGGCTTTCAAGCTCTTCACCCCTCTGCATCTCCCTTCCTCCTTCCCTGAGGTGTTAGGTACTCCACTGCTCCCAGGGAGGTCTCTGGGCATC